AATTGACAAATTAGTCGGTATTCTCGACACAGCAATTATAGGACTTGAACAGCGGAACTTTGTAACTGAACAAGAAATTATGTCTGTTTAAAGAGTTAAAGAGAATGTATTATCACATAAAAAACGAAGCAACTTTAACAACTTACATTGAAAAAATTACGGTTTCATATTTTTAATTTTATAATTTCTGCATGCCATCTTACCAGATTTAAACTGATGATCTATAATCCGGAAAAATCGATAATCCGGAATCGCCGAAGTCCCGACGACTCTGGATTAATGACTTTTGACTGTTCATAAATGTGAGATTAAAAAATGTGAGGCGCTCACCTAAATGGGGACAAACTGTGCTATTTAAATAAAGCAAAGCACACGAAGGCTATCTGCCCAAGAGAGGAATGCTTATGAGCAGGAAGTTTTAAGAAAAACTGATTGATGGTTACGTACGTATACATAGGAAAAACTACAAAAATATCCATGTAGGCAGCCAATTCATTACATAGTTCAAACTTGAGTCAAATTAGAAGAGTTAAAAAAATTCACAGGGTTTGTAGCCACATTTTAGTTAAAAAAATAAGCACCTATAAGCACTTTACAAGCACATTTTAAGAAAAAATAATAATAAGCACCTGTCTAATTACATTATACACTACTGCATAACCTTAAAAGAAAAATTAGACGTGTAATTTAAAATATCAGAAATTCAGTATTTTTAAGAGAGAATGAGCATTACTCATCTATGGAAAACAATTACATTCTTCTTTTTACTTTCTTCTACGAAGTAAAAAGGAAGTATTGTTATCGCGAAAAGTTTCAGGCAGCATATTTCAAAGAAAATATCCATTTTGACCACTATTGAATGCAATTTAATGATGTTTTTGCGTGATATCTGTACTTAAGGACAGAATAAAATACTATTTTCCTCCAAAAAAAAAATATAAAACTGCTTTAAAATTAATTATGAAGAGAATTTTTCGTGGCGTCTGTACGAACGTACGTATCTCGAATAACTCAAAAACGAGTAGCCTCAGAACGTTGAAATTTTGTATATAGGACTGCTATAACATGTAGATGTGCACCTCGTATTTTGGTTGCAGTCGGCCGCCCCAAACGTATATAAATATATTTATATATATATCCACTCTGTTACCCGGCTCAGCGATCTCAGTTTCTTTACTCTTATATGTTTGTAAATTGCACATTTCTTGCTTTAAAAATGATTGAATTATATTGTTCTTATCTTCCTTTAGTAAATCTGTATGCAATATTTTTAGAATTATCAACAATTTTAAAGCTATTTAAGTGCTGCTAAGCCTAATAATTTTTTTGATAGTGGCCATTGCTTGCTTACATTTAAAACAGCAGGATACTGGATTTGTTGCCAATCTAGAGAAACTTGGCTTCGCAACAACAAAGATAACGCCTTCATTTATTATTGCCAATTAAATCATGCTTAATCCTTTCTGAAATTTTTTCGAGGAAAGAAGTGTTTAAGATTTACTTCGTAATTTTTAATATAGATATTTTGAGTTCTTATGCATTTTTGCCTTCTCGCGAAGTGAGAACTGAATTAACTGAATGAGAAATACTCAACCATCTGTGAAAAACTGTTTCTTTTTTGTTTTGTTTGCTTAATTTCTTTTATACATTGTTTTAGCTTTATTGTATTTGAATAGAACATGTGGCAACGATTAGATAATTCTTTAAATGATATAAATTTTGTGCATTCTGAGTTATAATATGAACGAAATATAATATAATACTGTTAAGTGAACCTAGCACCAGAGTGTCGCTACGGTAAACAAACAGAGTAAATTTTAAAGAATGCATTTATTCTATTGTGGTTTATGTGCTGTCGGCGAAGTAGATTTAATTCAATCCAATAAGTTTAAATGAAATGCAAGAAAAAATGCGCATAATTTAATATTCTGTACAAGGAAGTCATGTGGTGTACACATCAGATTTTTTAATTTTAAATAACAGTTCAATTTACAGAACCAGTTTACAATGAGAGAAAAAAAAAAAACTATGCAGAACTAAATTATATTACAAGACTTAATGATGAAATTTCAGTTCAAAATAGAGAAAATAAATAATAATAAGCTATATTTATTATATTCGCCATATTTATTATATGAAATCAGAAGACGGCAAATTGCTTCATACAGTCATCCTTTAACAGTTTAAGCTTAACTAACCGGCATACTCGGAAATTGCCAAATATCTGAAATTTCGGATAGTGGAGTGTAACTGGTAAAAGTGGAAGGGGGTAGATTGTAGCCATTTTTTAGATTTTTCAGCTAAATAATGCTTTTGACATTCCGATATGTGCATCATATAAAAAATAGCCCAATGGAACTGAAAAATAATCTGCTTAGCAAGCATAGTAAAACTCTTTTATCTCTGGGAAATATCGCAAACGTTATTGCGCAATACGTGCGTGCCGCGCCATATGCGATATCCCTGCCATAGTCGTATTAATTAATAAAGATATTCACTAATCTGGGATATTTTTCATTCTAATTTTGAACAGACTGCGTTAAATTTCCGGAATAGAATCATTCTTCGCTTGGGTGGTAGACCGCAGAACTTTTAGCCCTATTCAATCCAGATAGAAAGTGACCCCCCCCCCAACACACACACACACAAGGAAGGAAAAAAAAAAAAAAAAAAAAATCTGAAATGTTTTAGATTTTAAATTACGTCCAAAGGGGCGTTTTTTTAACGCTTTGAGTGTTACCTTTATTTATTAAATATCATGTTCTTTGCACTTAAACCATAAAAGTCAGTTCAAGAGCAATATCGCAAAATAATGTTAAATTAAGCATATCTTTAGAATTTCCGATATACACAGTCTCGCGAGCTGGAGATAAAAGTATTTTTTTTCTATATAACGTTGCCATTTCTCGCTTTTAAAGCATTGAGTTTGTAAATCAAAATTCGTTAAAGTTTTACAAAATATAAAATCTATAATAAAACAAATTCCAAATTTGGGATTTCAGATGCCCATATTCGCAGTAGGATTTCGTCATTCAAAATTCGATGGCTCTATGTACCATTGTTTTATCACAATGCGAGAAATAGACAATCATTTATGCAGAATTTTTCATTATTTAATTTCTTCAAATATAATGCAGGACTCTAACATTTTGTGGCAACAGTTTGAAAAGTGAACCGACATTTATGAGTCCAACGCAAAATCGCAAAACGAAAACAATAGTCCTTCAGGGACAAAGCCCCTTTGAACTAAAAAAACGTCCGTTGCTTGCTTTGCTGCGAACTGTAATGGTTTCAATATTCAAGATTTTGCGGAGAAAGGGGAAAACCCCCAACTTCCGTACTATATAATGCATTGGGGAAAAAAAAAAAAAAAACTATTTGATTACTTTATTTATGCCATTGCAAATATTATTCCTTAGAAAACTAATCTGTGTTAAAAACACACTTACCCATTTTTGAAGTTTATCTATACTTCAGCAGTTACTGCAAAATATATTATTATAAATATTCATACATATGCTCATAATATAAGCCGATCATAATAAACGTGGATATGAACTGATCACGCGGAACAAGAATGTAAATTATTAAAATCTTGATAGAAATTCAAACATGTGTAGTGTTAGGTGGGAGCAGAATAATACGGAATACATCGGAATTTCCTACTGCTTTCACAATTCTTTGACCAATCGAACGATGTGTACCTGTCTATACTCGCACGTACCAAAGGCAAAGAATATACAGGGTGTTTCACAGATCACGGGACAAGCTTGGAGGGGTGGTGGAGCATACCAAAACTTGCATTTTTTTATTGGAATGTAGGGTCTAACGTGATGGGTTAAGGCAGGAATGCATAAAAAAATGACACGAGAGGAAAATGTGTTTATGTACAAAATCAATACATGTAACAAAATCAATCTATATTGTTCATACATAGACATTGTTGAACACACAAACATTCTTTGCCAAATGTTATGTTAATGCAGAGAAAGGGGCGAAAAGCTATTTCAGGGAGTATGATTCAACATCTGATGTTCCATATAAGGAAGAAAAGTTGTTTATTTAGTTTCAGCTTTGGTATGGAGAAAAAATGGGCATTTGTTAAAAACAAAAAAGCACTAAAAGCAAAAAATAAGCACTAAAAACAAAAAAAAATAAGTGCTTTAGAGAAAAAGTAAGCACCTATAAGGGCTTTTATATTTTATTTTCAAATATAAGGACTTATAAGCACTTGTAAGGACTGCTACGAACCCTGGTTTCAGCCAGAGATGAGACTCTCAAGAGAATAAATAAGAAGCACAAAAATTAAATTGCATTATTTGAATTACAGCAATGCAAACTAAGGTTACCTGCCTAACAGAATGTACTTGTGTAGGCCTTTCAATAGAAAATTGGTTTGTCTTACGACATACAGGGAAAATCGTGACAAATCCCATGCAGACAGCTTGTTTCCTCAGATTTGAACCAAGGTCAAATTACAAGTATTTACGAGTATCAAGCATTAAACAATCTCTCACAAGCGATATAAGAATAGGCATAAAAAGTGTATTATTACAAAGCACACTAGGGTTATATACTTAAGGGCCGGGATGTCTTTGTGAAGAACTTTCTAAGGAAATTGGCTTTTCTTCACATTGTGCATGGGAAAAACTGAGAAAACTCCCAAGTAATCAGCTTATTCATATGGATTCAAACTCAAGTTGAACTACCAGCATTCAGTCATCTTACTATTTAGCTATTAACAGGCAAAAAGAGACATAATATTCATAGAGAATAAATTTAATATTTATGAGAATGTGATAAAAAATATTTTGGAGGATAAAATTTCCCTCATATTTTGAAATATATCCAAAGAAATCTGATTTGCTTAATATGCCCTTAAATATGCCTTTTATTTTGAATATGTTCTATTATGCCTTTTAATAATCTGGAAAGGAAAGTTTCACAGTGAAATAAGCTCAAAATGACTCCAAATAAAAAAAAGTACTGCAGATTCTTACCACTGCCGGAGAAGGCACATGGATGCAGGTGACAGAATTAGCTCTGATGTTGTTTGCTAAATGGCAGAGGAATACACCATCATTGAGGGCGGTCTCCATTTCATCGGGAAGTTTCAGTTTCAACCTGCTTTCTAAAATCTGCATGAAACATAAAACTCATAAATGACAATGGGGCATGAAGCAATCACAGATATCTTTAAACTCACAATTACTAAAATACTAAATCGATAATCAAATTCTAATTATCTGTATGCATGATGAATATATGCTTTTTATACAGTTTTCTTAATTTCATAATGACTAATACAGCTGGACCAAGCATGAGGTAATTACAACACTTGCTTCAGGTAAAAAATGAAACAGGGTACAATTTAAATAGATTAGAAACAAAGGTTTTTGAAGATCTTTGGGGTTTTGTAGTTCTTTGGGACAGTTTGCCAAAAGAGTGGCAATCTATGCACAAAAAACTTTTGGCAGTATACAATGTGGAGTATAGATCATTTATAGCTGTCAGCAGAGTAATGTTGTAGTTTTCACCACAATCTAAAGAAAGAATGATTTGTTGTAAGAGTCTCTTACGATAATTTGTTTTAAGATTCTGATTAAGTCTGTATTAAGATTCTGATTAATCTACTCATTCAGTTTAGCAAAGTAGAAATATTCCAACAGGTTTTAAACAATTTTCTCACCCCACATATTTCTTAGCAAAACAGAATTCCAAATGGCATATTTTGCAAATTCAAGTGGAAAGCACTCTCTTGTTTTACGAGTCATTTTTCCAAATGTCCACTATTTAGGAATGATCCTCTCAGGATTGCTTTACCTATATACAAGGAGATTTTAGTCAATGTTTACTGGGTTCTCCAATTTGGCCTCCTTTCATCATATTTAGCCAGATGCTTTAGAAAAGTCTCCATTATGACACTACTCCAGTCAATGGTTGTATTTCAAAATATTACTTCTCACACCACTTGATTGATGTCAGTTACTTATGACCAATAGTAAATAAAAATCTAATGCAATGAAAGAAAGAAAGAAAAAAGGAATTTTCAATTTATGAAACCAGTTTTTATAATAAATGCTCTTTTTTCCATGCACTGTTGAACTGTACAAGACCATGTAAGTTCACTTCAAAGTTTAATTTTATAACTTTTCTTACAAAGCTTAGCGTGCAATACAATTTCTTTTTTATTAGAACAGCAGCTTAAAAAATGCAGAAAAAAACCATGTTTATGAACTGAATATAAACAAAGTAAATGCAATAATTATTAAAACAAAGAAATATCAGAAGTTAGCACAATAAGGAAAAGTGTGGGGAAACACACGATAAAATCAGCATTGCGAAAAAGTACACAGAAAAATTAGACGACTGTTAATATAGATAATATATACAGGGACCATTTCATTTTGCTTTAAAAGTTTGACTCTGTTCATCAGAATGTTCCAGTAATGATATCATGGGCTGTATTTGCCTATTCAGTCGGTATTTTAGAACTGAAAAGTATGAAAATGGAGCTATATGCAGAGGGTTAAGAATTGAAATCTGCCGACACGGCTCTGCCATGGCTCGGTCAAAAAACACCATAAATAATTTTGCTTTCCTCATCTACCTTAAAAACAATGAATGCAAATAAGAGTTAAAGCAAAAACAAAAACAAAAATTTACAGAGTACTTATTTTGCAAATCAATAAATGATAAAATTATATTTCCTTGAATTAAAAATAAATTTTTTGCATCCTTACTATCTGAGATTAAACATACAGTAACACATCATCAAAAATTTAAATAATTAAAAATGAGTTTGAAAATGAAAAAAAAAAAAAAAAAAAATTCACATTCTCTACAAAACCAACAATAATCTTTGGCTGAATTTCCATCAATTAAAAAAAATCCAGACTAATGTATTTGTTTTCCTTTAGACATCTCTTTTCAAATAATTTGTAATTCATAAAAAAAAACATTAAGAACTTATGTATAATTATGAAAATATCCACAAACCTCTCTTAACTTGGAGATCAGTTCTTGTTCTTCACGGGCTTTATCAAACTCTCTTTTCATAGTAAAACTAGACTTCAACGGTTTAACAGGAGTATATGCTTTAAAAAAAAAAAAAAGTTTTATTACATATACATTAAGTGAGTAAAATTGAAGCCTCTGATATCAAAATTACTACCCTTTCAGATAAATAAAAACTGTGCACAAAACTTACAATTCTTTGGCCACGTAAAATTATTTTGTGCAGCATCCTTATCCAATCCTTTCTCCTCCTGAAGCGAATGTTTCTTCTCCACCAAACACTGCTTCTAAAAAGTGCCATTAAATAACTTGCTTATAATAAATAAACTATACTAGACATATGTTAGACAAAAAATGTAATAAAAATTAATAATTTTTTCTTTATCAATAATAAGAATAGATCAATATTAAGTTTTTTTTTTAGATTCCAACAGTTTTTACAAAAAAGTATACTGAAGGAGAATGATAAGAGCAAACAAACTATCTCATCAGAATCAACATAAATTTCAGGAGAAAGAGTTATTCTGGAATAATTTATCACACATAAACATAATCATGTTTTCTTGCAATGGTACACTTTTAACAGCTTGCTTTTGCAATGCATGTACAGGAAAACAGAATCAACATTACACTGTATAAAACAACTAATCACAAATTGTATGCATGGAACTGCTAGTCAAAGACTATGTCACATTACACTCTAAAAAGAAATGCATTTTTTTACAAATATGTGGATGAATATACAGATACAACAATTTTTTTTTTTTTTTTTTTTCCTCCATTTATTGTATGACATGAGATTTCATGCTGCACTTTAAATTTATGCAACCATCCAGCTGAAAAGCAAGCTTCCTTCACATTCAATCGAAGTACTATTTCTTTTGACTTCTCGTTTAACATGGGGCCACTCACTGGAGTACTGGATGCATGACACTGAATGAGAAATTTTAGCAAAATGACTTTGATCTCAGGAAACTTTCCATCTCAAACATGCAATCTCTTTGAAGCAGACTGTGCACAAATTTCTGCTCTTTCTTCTTTTTCTATCACGAACAACCACTTTTAGTGTTGTCACAGGAATATCCAGTTTCTTTGCTAACTTAACTTTTATCAAACCAGTACTCTGATCAAATTCTTTTAGATTTGAATTTTATCTTTCAATGAGAATACCTTTCACTTTCATGACATTCTGCTCCTCCTAGTTTACTTAACACAGTGCCCTGTTCAGAAGGGGGGGGAATGTCTATTTTTTCTTTCAAGTATTCCCTCAAATCATGAACCAGTTTTTCAACTCCTGCACCAGACTGAAATCTCATGTCTTTGTATCCTTTTCCTATCCCCATTTCTGAGGAAAAATAACTGAATGGTGGGACTGCGAAAATGTAGTAAATCAAACAAAAACGATGTATAACCAGTTATGCAACACAAAAAAATATATATATTACTATTAAAATACATACGAGTTAATCAGAACCAATATAAAACGATGTATAAATGGTGCTCCATTGTGTATGTATATATATATATATATGTGTGTGTGTGTGTGTGATAATGTAGAAATAGTGATGGCATAGATGTTGGTTCATAATAAACAGCAATCCTGGCACCTGAGGCAGATTAAATATTTTTTTTTAATTATTTATTTATTTATTTATTTCAATTCACATATGATTTACTTGGCACTCTAATCCTGATTCAAAACATTTACATTTTTGATAGAGAAAAGTGCTTGAAGCCAAGTTAATCAACTTGGTTAAATGGTTAAAGTTCTGTTTGAAGCTTTGAACAGAGAAGATTAACAATAATACTTCTTTTCATTGCCTATCATGATCATGGGTGCACTATGCACCCCCACAATTTTATACAGATTATATTTTTAGAAAAATGGACAACAGCCAGCAGAGGCTAAGCAACACATCAGTGAGTAAAGTAGCGCCGCTGAAGCAAAATTATGAAGTCATCCAATATGGCAGCCTACCAAGAGAAAGTTTCAGTTCTTGAAATTTTGAGTTCCAAATCAGTAACGCCAAAATTTCAGTATAGGTTCCACATTAGTTACATCATCAGTGTTATTAAGTCATGTGAATGGATTGATCTAGAAATGACGCAGTCGAAAGAAATTTTGATGCACTGCAGATGCCAGGAAGGGGCATATAAAAATCTAAAGAAGAAATTTAAAGAGCTATTCTAACTAAATTAGTAATTTATTACAAATTCATTTTCTTATTTTAGATTTTACAAATTAGATTGATCTTCTTATTTCATATTTTACATATATACATACACACACATCTGTATTAAGTCAATGCAACTATGCATAATTTAAATATGCACTTGAAATGGAAATTACCTTCATGGACTCATTTGGTACATGATTCTTTGGCATACTGTCCACAAACACTTCTGATCCAGCAGAATCAAACTGCCACTGATTGACTAGAGGCATACTCATTGCTTTGGACTCATCTTCAGTCTGCTGAAGATAAAAAAATTCAGTATTTCTCAATAACAACAAAAAATTCAGAAGCAAGAAAAAGAAAATAATTACATTATGTCCAAAGGAGTGGTTTTTTAAACATTTTGTGTTTATTTACTAAATATCATCTTCTTCGCACTCAAACCAGAAAATTCAAGCGATATCGCAAAATAATTTTAAAATAACAGTTTCTTTAGAATTTCCAATAAACAGTCTCACACGCTCCCCCATAATAGTGCTGCCATTGCTCACTTTGAAATCATTGACTTTCTTAATCAAAAATTCGTTAAAGTGTTCTAAATATGAAATCGATAATAAAACAAATTCCAAATTAGGGCTTCCAGATGCGCATATACCGATGGAGGATTACGTTATTCAAAATTTGATGGCTCTAGGTACCATTGTTTTATCACAATGCGAGAAATATACATACATTTATAGAGATTCTTCATTACTTAATTTCTTTAGACATAACACAGGGCGATAATATTTGGTGGCAACAATTTGAAAAGTAAAACGGATAATTAAAGCTTTCGACATATAATGCCAAAATGAAATTAATAGCACTTCTGGGCTAATGCCATTTGGGCTATGGAAAAAAAAAAAAAAAAGAAGTTATACATCCACATTAGTAGTATGATTTCAAAAATGTTTTATGGCTGAACTGCAAAATGTCATCAAATGTTATTTTTAATATGAGTGACAACTGCACAATTTAACTTTTTAATTTGTTATGAGTAGGTACTCCACTTCAAACAGATAAACAATTAATACTTGAATACATGCATTATCAATACTGAAATATTTAAGTATCAGGTTTAATCAATACATTTCAAATAATGAAATATTTAACTTTTGAAAATGCATGCAATGCAGCATACATATCATGATTTCTGCATTTAATACACACATCAACATTTAGAGACTGTATGAGAACAGAATATAATGAAAATAAGCATGCTTTCATAAATTTTACACTAATAAATTTTAATGACATATAACATGCAAACAATATTAGAAACAAAATTAAAACAAAGGTCATTGGAAAAAATAAATTGTATTGCATCATCAGACATTTAGTTTAATATTTTGGAAGTCTTCTCATATCAGAATATTAATGAGAAGTGTTAAAATTCTTTCTATCTGTCAATGAAAGCGTTTTAACGTATGTGTAGGCTGAGTGCAAAAAGCGTCAAAATACCGACATCTGGCTGTAGCTATTACATGAAATGCTGCATGAAGTTTTCATCATTTTATCATGTTTTATATGAAAATAAGCCAATTTCACTTAGAAAGAACTTCTGCAAACAATCTTCTGTTTAGGTAACTCCCAAATGCAATGTCAAAAACTAAACAGCCTTCGCTCAATAGAAAATAGGTTTTAGATTTTTCCTCTCCAAGTACGATGTTTAGTTTGGAAAATAAAACCAAAGAAAATATCATTTTCTACTAGTTATTATTAGTTATGAAGAACGTAGGTATTTCCGCAATTAAAAAACAAGATTATGACAAGTGAAGAATTTGGAGAATGTTCTTTATAATAATAATAAAAGACCGAAATTTGACATAATTCCCTTTTCTTTTACGTATTATTTTAAAAATAATATCAGTACTGAAAATAATATCAGCAGGTTCTATTTGAAGTCATTAGTTAAAAAAAAAAAAATTTTATAAACAACAGTCTGAGGTCTTTGGTGAGAATCATATTGTAATATTATGGTACATGTTATTTTAAAATAAATAATAACAACAATAAATCTTTTTTATAAACATATGTGTTCCCTCATTAGTTTTTTCCCTTACTTTTTTTAATTTTTTATGAAAGTTTCTCACCTTGTGAAAAAAACAATGGTACCTGCAGACATCAAATTTTGAATAACGTAGTCCTCCACTCGAATATGAGCATCTAGAAGCCCAAATCTGGAATTTGATTATGTATTTCTTATTTTGTAAAACTTTAAAACATTTTTTATTAACAAACTCAAAGATTTCAAAGCACTCCATTAACTTTAACACTGCATCTTCAAGCATGGATATTTTATATGCGATGGCCCTCCTCTTTTTTGTTTGTTTGTTTGTTTTTGTGTGTGTGTGAGAAATATTGCTGTTGAATTGAGGTGTGAAGAGCATGATAGTTAATAAATAAAAATAACACACAAAACATTAAAAAAAATCCCTTTGGGTGTAATATAAAATCTCAAAGCTTTCAGATTTTTTATTTATTCATTTATTTTAATTTATTTTTGGGGGGAGAGAGAGATAATTCTAACTTTTAAATTTATTTCCAAATTTTACTTCCTGGCATTTTCATTCCACACACAAATAAATTAGACTTAATTATGGCTGAGCTATTTACCACAAAAAATTTTCTTAAACAAATGCTCTTTCTTTCACTCACTTTATGTATGAGAAAATTGCCAGCCAATTTGTTCATATTAAAACTCAAAACCCTCATGAAAATAGAGCTGTGCAACCCTAGCTAACAGATACAAATTTCTCATATAAGTATATTACTCACCGAAGAAGTTACAAGACCATCTTTGCGCAATGTGTGCTTGGAAGCCAAGGTACTTTTTGTTTTTGATGTCGAAAGTTTCGGAGAAAGTTCAGAGCTAGAAAATGGAAGTGGGAAATATACAAAAAAAAATTTTAGACGAGTTGCAAATTTCCATATTAAAATCAACAAGTTACAATATCCATTTAATGATTAATTTTGAATAAATTCTTTAATTTTATGTGTTTGAATGAAAATTGAATAATTTATCTCTTGACAACACTTAAGACATGAAAACATAAATACAATAGCAATACAAATATTTTCCAAGTGGGAAATTTTGGTGGGGAAATTATAATATATATATATATATATATATATATATATATATATATAATTTATGCATATAATTTCAAGTAAATGAATTAATACTGTTATATATTATAATACAGTTGAGTCACACTCAGGTTTAATTTAAAATGTATGAAGTAGAATTAAATAAACTGATTTCCGAGATCTTTCACATTAAATTTAAAAGGAAATTATGATTCTTTAACAGAATTACAATCAATCACCTACAGTGGTTACATTAATGCCTCTAATAATGAATCGTTTTTTTTTTTTTTTTTTTTTTTTTTTTTTTTTTCATGATTTCTTCTTATGCACATTCTGCCTCTTAGGTTAGCGCCTCTTGCCTATTAGCAATTTATGTTCAATTCTTTGTTTTAACAATAGTCCGTCTGCTATTTTATATTTAATTTATAAAATTAATGGCCTCAAATATGTCAATGCTGATACTGTTTCACAAGACTTTTTCACATATTACTTTCATCTTGTATATGTTAGTTTCTTGTGTTCAATTTTTTGTTGTATTGATATTGCATCTACTTTCTAAAATTTATATTTCATCCATAAACATAACTATTTAGAATTTGTCAATGATTGAAAAAATTACTATTCTTGGCTCTCAGAAAAATAAATGCAACCACTCTTCAGGACTTTTGAGAACAATCATGAAATCATGAACTATTAACTTACGCTGCATTGTACGAATACCAATGCCTAAAAACAAAAAGCATCCACGTCACAAATTGGTTTCATGGATCAAAAATTATATTTTGGGACACATTATATTTTATCTACTATTGGTAGAAAGAAAAAACATCAATCATGTGGTGTCAGAAACAATTAAATATTGTAATAAAACCACAGATTAGAACAGCTTTATGAGGAATGTTTGCTCAAAAAATTTGATCAAACATGCTAAACGTGAATTGGAGGGCCCAAAAAAATATTGGAATCAACGAGTCTCTTTGCACAGGAAGAATACAGGAAGAATTCCAGTGGATATTTGAATACATCTTACCAAACAGGAAACTGTTTTCTGGTTGAAATTATGAATAGACTACAAGATATATCACCGAGTCGTATTTCACTAAATTTAAAGCCCTTTTAAATTATATCTGTGATCGTAGTAGAATCATAGATGCAGAAATTTGTGTTAAGACTGTTGCACTTTTGGCAAGATTTTGGTGAAGTGATTGGCTCAAAGATCCACAAATTCCATTTAAAGTTTTACCTAATGAGAGAAAGGGATATTTTATGTATTTACATATCATTTTTGCTTTAATACAACTATCCATTCAACTTGTGTTGCTAGTCAAATTATCAGAAATAAAAATTTCTTTCCTAGCATGCAGTAATTATCATAATCTTTAACCATAAGTTTACTGTTTAGACAAGAGATGACTGGTTAGATAAAATTTACAGTCTAAATAAAGAGGTAAAAGCATATTCTTAATAATTTTTTTCAAATCAAAGTCTATTTTTTCACTTAGTATTAACAATTAACAATTATAATGATCTTAATATTAACAATTTTGTTAAGACAGGAGGAAAAAAGAAAGTGAAGAAAAAGAATGTGGCACTTGCAACACTAAGAAATTCAAAAGGCAGCATATTGAGAAAGAACATTTAATGTTATTGCTTAAAATAAATTTCATTAGAATTGCTTAGAATACTGACTACATTTTAGTGGGAAGGAGCACATAATGCAATTTATTTCATTTCATTGTCTTATAGCTTATTCAAACTATAATTGAAAGGTTTTTGAAAAATACAAAACTTTTCAAAAAAGGAAAATAACAACTGAATAAAACTGCAATCTCAAAATGACATAATGGACTGATTTTTCTTTTAATAGAGATGAGGAAAATGGCATGCATAGGTTGATAAATAATGTTATGAAATGAATGGGGCATTTAATATTGGATTTTGGGAAAAGAGATATGATGGGTAATATTTATCAAATACTATAAAAGGGTTTGATAGTATTTTATTAATAAGAAGAATTTTTACTGCAAAATTGCCCACTTTCAAAAATCACAAAGTTTTCAAATCATATGGCAAATGCAACTTTCAAATGGTCTCCAAACAAAAAGCAATATTGATTTAAAATATATAAACTTAATATTAATTCATTATTAAATTTTAATAAATGTTTTTCATCTAATTTCATTCAATTTATAATTTTTGTAGTTTTCAAAAAAATTTGTATTGATACAAATGCAATTATGGGGGGCAAAAAAAAAAAAAAAAAAAAAAAAAAAATCTTTTAGATGTCAAAATGTTTTTGAACACTACAAAATCACAACTAATCATTAATGTGGCAGACAAGCATGAGGTTTTAAAGTGAAATTAAATACAAACATTAAACTTAGTTATATCTTCATTAAATGATCTTTAAATTTCTAATAGTTCATATTAAAACAGTCCATATTAAATAAAAGTTAAAACATTAAAATTACACTAATAATCAATCACTTGAGAAAGAAAAGGAATTTGCATAATTCAAGTTTCATTAGGAGATTAAAAAATTTTTACTACAGTTTTGTTCAAGAATTTGTCATTAAAATTTCCCTCATTGTATTATTTTTTTGTTTTTAATACTAAGAAATTCTTTTAAAACTACTTTAAAAAATATTATTTAAATTCAGATATACAATACAAAGTCCGTAATCCGGAATGATCTATAATCCGGACTTCAAAACCACAAACTTTACGCATGCGCGTAAAGAATGTGCATACATTACACACGCACGCAATGTATGCTTTACGCATGCGCACATTGAAAGAAATGTTTAATAAAGTAAACAAATCAATATTAAGCTTTTTTTTTTTTTTTTTTTTTTTTTTTTTTGTAAAATTTGATACCCTTTAGATCATAATTGCCCTTTATTTCATAAATTATGCTTTCATATTTTTAACTGTATAATTTCTGCATGCCAGCTTACCAGATTTAAATTGATGATCAATAATCCGGAATTGCTGAAGTCCAGACGAGTCCGGATTATGGACTTTGTACTGTATTAAAAACTGTGAGATTTACTAAGATACAAAGAATTACGACAAAATGCGAACTTCTTGATTTTACGAAGAGGTTTGGTAGCTTTATAATTCTTGTAAGAAATTTAAAACTTCATATTTACTTACCTGTTTTCATCACTGGAAGCTTTTTTATAAATATTTGGTGCAGTAGCTTCTCTTTTTTTCTTGACTGATTCTTTGTATTCTTTGAATGTTTGTACAGTGATCAAATCAGAATTTTTTTCAGATGCTTTCTCTTCAGCATTTACAGGAACATAATTGAACAGTGTGCTGAAATAATTCAACATTTCCATTAAAAATTGTAATTAACGCAAAGGACCATAATTAAAATTCAGAATTCCAATTATCTGGACTTCCTGTTCTTTCTAGACTAAATAAAGTTTAACTAGTCAAGTAATTATTTTTCCAATATTTTTTTTAATTCCTTTACTGATATAAGAAGCTAATACATTACACATATTTTTGAGTTATTAAATTAATGTAGATGAATGCACAAAACAAGCAGATTTGCAACAAATATAATACAATTCCAATAACCTACACCCCTCAAGACCAAAACTTGTGTGCATTAATGGATTTTATGGATTACATGTCCTGTCTTTCTGAATTTTGTTTGCATATGAATAATTAACTAAAAGACAATTAAAACTCGCAAATTATTTAATAAAGATTTATTAAATACAAAACTATTTCCTAAGCTTAATTAAATATGAAAAAATTATTATTAGAAGGAGAAAACAGAGTAAAATTGGGTTCTTTAGAGGGAAGGAGGGGTAAGAATTATTTTTGTTAAAACATGTTGAAGAATTTTAAGGGGGAAAAATATCCCTCAGTACAATTATCTTTAAAAATAACCTTAACACAAGAAAAAATATATTAATAAACAGATATATTGTTTATAAAACTTTTATCAGTAACGTTTTTATTTTTCCCCTAAATTGAATTCTTAAGCTAATTCTACCATTATGTTCCATGCATTGGCAATCAAACACAAGCATAAACAATAGTACAAGAGATAGAGAAGTTCAATCAAACAAATTCAAACCCACATTGAACTACCAGTGTTAGTAGTCTCACTACTTGGCTATAGGTACACAATTTTGAAACTGGCGGTACAGAAAATTCAGTACCCCTGATTTTAAAATTCAATTCGAACCAACTGCTACTTTTCCACTATTTTTAGCATACATGTGGCAACAACAAACCTACACATGCATTACCACATATGCATTTAAGTACATGTAGACTTAGATGCTTTATTTAAATGTTATTTCACTGAACCAGTGTCGGTTAGCTGCAAAGATGTAAACATCATAGATAGAAATTATTTTTCATCATAAAATTTCTTGTTCCTTGTAAAATACCTTTTTTCATTATTGTTTATGAACAGAATAGAATAGCACCTGTAAGTCCTAAAGATAGCCAAAATATAATCTTTCAGAAATTTAAAAAAAGTCACCTATACGGTTAGGACTTTTCATGGGGATGTAGATAATTAGAAAATGCCAGCAGCTATTTTGTTAATGACCTTATTGTGATAAAAGTACTAAAAACGCATTTCCAAAGTGCAAACACCAAAAGAATGAGCCACAGTATACGATTAGAATCAGCAAAATATTTCTCATTCTGTTGCACTCATAAACATAATATCCAAGCTATATTAAATTACACTGTTTTTGTTGTTATTATCCTATTTTTAAAATCTTTTAAGGCCAATTATTCTGTCTTAAAACATTTTTAACTAAGTACTAGATATACATAAATTAGATTATAACAACTGTTGTTCAAGATGAAATGGGTAGTTATTTAAAAACATTTAAATTATTGAATTACTCATTTTTTCACACATAATAAGAAATGCATAATCAAAGCAAATAAATTAAGTTTACGATTGGATATTAAATAAATTATGTTTACGATTGGATATTAAATAAATTATGGCTCCGAGTGCAACCACAAATATATTTGAATTAAAAATCATGTTTGAACATTCATAATTTTGGGGGTAGATGGGGTCTAAGCATTTGCATTCGGTTTTATATTAGATTCCTTCAAATCATTTTCAGCATTTCTCATTAATTTTCTATTTTTTATTCTAGGATAATATAAATGTGACTAATACAAATAAACCTTCGAATATATTTAGTGTTGAAATATACACAAAAACTTACTAAAACTCTTTCTCAATTGCAGAATCTGCAATATTTAATTTACTGCAGAAATAGAGCATGTTGTTATAATAAAAATCAGCATAAATTCCCCTCCCCCTCCTTTCACAAATTTGTAATACCCGAGATAAATTTTTTTAAATCTGAAAATAATATATGTATTGTGTGTGTATATATATATATATATATTTGGGGGGGTGCTTATTGTTCCCAAAATTTGCACTTGAACAAAAAAATAACGAAAGCATAATAAACTTACTTAGTATTTTGATTCCTTGTAGAAATGTTGCTAGACATCTCCCAATGAGGTGATTCTCCCGGATATTTCTTGAACCCACAAATGAGCTGCAATAAGAAATTAAACTGTTAGTAGAGCATATTACAATACAACAATATATTAACATACATGTAGCACTTAATCTAATTAAAATGATGGCATTAAGTAATGAAATTTTTCTAAACATTACATTTACAAATTAAATTTAAAATTATATTTTATTAAAATTATTTACTTTATTGTATAACAAATATGTTTCGATTGGCATAGTTTCTTTACGCTTTAAACATGAAGAAAGAACTGATATAACTGTGGCATAATTTTTTTTTATATCCATTGTAGATGTGATTAAAAATACATATCAAAACATATTATTTATGAACCATACAGATAAAATTTTTAAAAAAGGGTTGTCTCTTATTAGGTTTTTAGAAATATATTTTGAAACTTGTCTTATTAGGCAAAAACACACAGAGCAGAAAACAGAAAAATTTTCAATTAATCCAAATGTAAACTTTGATTAGTTTATAAATTGTTTTGGCCTTTCATATAACAGGTAGAATTTCAAAAGCACTAATTTAATAGGATTTAAAATTAATCAGTGAAAAATCGCTGGATTAAATTTTTAACTACAGCCATGTAAGTCTAACATTTTACTTTTAAGTATGTTATACTTTTAAGCAAGTTAAGTATGTTATGTGAGTCTTCAGTATTTACAATAATGTTCAATTTTATATATATATGTCTACAATAAACAACTTTTAAAATTGAAAAAATTTAAGTAATGCACATATGATTTCAATAGTTATAGATTTTCCTCACAGTAGTTCAAGACTGACTTATCCAAGATAGATAAATACTTTAATACCCCCAAAAAATATACTAATTACAATTCAACATACATGCTTCTTCCTGGCACTGTACTGATTACAATATACTAATAACAATTCACTATACTAATTACAATTCAATATACATGCTTCTTCCATGGCACTGTACTGTATAAACCATTAAAGATTTTGGAAACTGAGACATGAAAAATCAACCATGCCTTCATTGTGATTCAAACCAGATTTTCCATTTGCTACCTGAACATGCTAAACCATGCCTGGGGAATGTGATATTTCCTTATATTCTTCCTCACTTAAACAGCGACTGGGAAGAGACACAAGAATCTCGTTAATTAAATCCAAATAGTTGCAACTTACCATTCACTACGTTTTTAGTTCAGGACCATGAAGCAACGTTAATATTTTTTCTTGTCCAAATGTTAGTCAGATGTGCTAATATAACTTAATGCAAATATAACTTAATGAAAGTACTTTCACCAAAAAGCACACAGGGAAATGCAATAATTTTTTCTATATGGCATTTTCATACAATGCCTGATAGTAAATTTTTTGATAATACTTGGTTAATTCACAATAAAAAAGAAAATGATGGTCATTCCTTAGTCAAGCATTACTTTCATTAAATCCTTTAAAGTTGTTTTCTTGTTTAGAATTATTTAGAATTTACCATCCTAAACTGATAAACGAACCAAAATTAAAAAATTATTGATATCAAGCCAATTTCAACAACACATCTTAAATGTTAACATCAGAAAAAAATTCTGTATGGAGATATAATTTTTTATGAATATTAACTGATGTTTCAACAACATATATATATATATTTGTTATAAAAGGGTATTTCTTACAGTCATAACAAATGAATAACGATACATAAATATATAGTACTTTATAATAAAAGAGACAACACTTAAACCAAAAGAAATATTAGCATGAAATCCAAATGAAAATATTGTAAAGCAAATATAACTTAATGAAAATAATGACCACTTTATTAAATCTAAATTTTAAAAAAAGGCAAAATTCATTAATTCCAAGATTCATAAATAAGAAAAAAATATAATTATTCTAATAAACAGCTATAAATTGACTCATTCCTAGCTGTTGTTGTCAGAATTCTATCAAACTAAGCTCTTGACACCAGAAATAAATAAATAAATGGTTGTCAAAAAGGAATGAGCGAACTTTCAAACCAGCATACACTACTAATTGTTTCTTCCCAAAGCCCAATTCTTTCCTTGCAATGCCATTTTGGTGCTTCAAAGGCAGTGAACGCAATTTTACTTCGTTACTTCTCCAATAGATTTCAATACAGATGGTATCTCTGTGTTACAAGATTTTAATTACCACTGTTCATTAAGAACTGCAAATCATATTGGCTATATATCTATGATTCTTTCTCCTCCCCACCCCAAAAATACTTCAAAAAGAAAATTAACTGAAAATCTTGGAAGAATAATTACTGAATAGATGTTCCTTTCCCCCCCCCCTACACACAATGATATCACTGCATAGCTACTCGTGAGATGAAATAAATCTGACTTACCATTAACTGGAAAGTATCGGATACATTTATCATACAACAGTACAGAAAAGTAAAAAATTAAATACTTCACATTATAAATAAGAACCTACATCTTGTGACTCTTGAGATCTAGTATCACCGTCAGATGTGCTGTAACCGGAATCAAAAGTATAACTTTTCCTGCAACTACCACCGGCAAAACCATTTTGAAATCTAGTATCAGATCTATGAAGGAAATTTGAATTTTAAGGGTAAAAGAAATTAAACCTTTTAAGAAAAATTAAAGAAAATGTGCATTGCAAGTAATTAACTCATTAAATTAAACAAAATGGTAATAATAAATAAAAATTAAATAAAAAGTAATCAATAGAATCCATATCTACATCAATAAGCTAAACTTACAGAACAGGAGGACTGCGGAATTTCTGAAATTCTGTTTCCAAAACAATTCCACGTTTATCTTCTTTTATTGCTTGAATTTCCAGGAACTTGAAAACATGGATTCTTCCTCTTTTACACAACTAGAATATAAAAGAGTAATGAATACATGACATATGTAGTTGCTACGAACACTAACTGTAAAATAACATGCAAGAAAAGTTCAAGGTCCAGCTCCTCCATACCACCAGATTATTGGATAAATCAAGACAAGGCAATTATTATATTATAACAACCAAGTCAATGCAAAATTAATTTGCGCATTTACAAAATTAAACAGATAATTTTTTTTTAAATGCATAAAAAATTTTTGTAAACATAAATTAATTATATGTTTAATTTAAAAAAAAATTAAGCAAAACTCACCATACAGTAACCGTTTAAATATATCTCATGACAGAAAACATACCAGAAGATAAACTAGAGAATATGCACAATTTATTATTCTAAAACAAATTATGTATTAAACATTAGGTTATTATTCTAAAACAAATTATTATGTTTTATGTCTAAAGCAAATTACGTTTTATAATCTATTGCAATTTTGTTTCACAAAAACATTTTATCCTCATCATTCTTCACATCCTTTGACAACAGTGAAGTTTTTTGCAGCTGGCTGTTATTTAGTTTTGTTATTTTCTATATCTTTTGATACCAGCATGTTCTCCATAATTGCCTAATATTTAGCTTATTTAATACATTCAATAAATTTCATCTTCAGAAAACATAACGACTGAGTTAGCACTTCAGAGTGGTTTATCATAAGCCTACCGATATTTTTTGCTTTCTTCAACAGAATTCTGCTACATAACATTCAGCCATAATGACGATGGTGACAGAGAAAAGGCCTAAAGCTTTGGCTTATTTCAGAAGAATACATTCATAGAAGATGGAGGATTATCAGGTACCAAATTATCAGACTTTTGTGCTTAATTTTTCATAGAATCTTACATAGTAAAATGTCAAAGCTTCAAAATCTGCAAAAGATAAACAAATAAGAAATTTTCAAAATTTTATACAACAAACTATAAAAATGATGAATTGATAATATAAAACTATGCAATGAATAACTTGCATAATGAATGTAAACTGAATCACAATGCCTTCCAAAGGTTTCTTTGCCAGCTAGCACGTAAAGAACTGTAAAAATTATGGAACAAACCATGTACATGTAACATTACATAATAATATTGTTCCAAAATTAACATGATAAACATCATGAAAGTACGTGATGATATAGTTATCCTAATATTTAAGCTGTTCATATCATGTGATGTAATGATTTATATCCTCTTAGCTTGAGAAAAGCAGATTAGAGCTTTGGTACATATATGTATTATATGTAATTTTTTGGCTGTCTACCAACCTACGATTTCTCTATTAATAAGAAATGCTCTTTTTTATCTCATAATAAACACTGCATTTTAATTCATTGTGCCTGAATATGCTTTGGCAAGAAGCTCCTACAAAACTTTTAGTTAAAAAAGAAAATAAACATCTAATACTATCCACTGACAGAAAAAGGAACAAAAAAAAAAAAATGTCCAACAGCCAAGGAATTCAAAGAAAGAGTAAATACATATCAGAATTTAAGTTATTAAGAAAATCAGAAAAATATTTATACATATGCAGAGATTCCCAAAAATCTAATTCATAAACAGTTTTTTTTTTTTTTTTTCCTACTTTTCTCCCAAAAATGGAGTTAACGATTAACAGAGCTATGCACCAGCTTACATTTAACAGAGATTTATGCAACTTACAATTAACAGAGCTATGCACCAGCTGAGTTATGAGTTCTAGTTATAAGTTCTGTAATCTTTAACAGTCTGCAATTTATTTATTCATTCCAGTGTATTTTGACTTATTAAAATGCTCACCTTTATAAGTCCTTATTTGAAAAATAAAGTACAGAAATATATGTACATCACACAAAATGCATAAAACATACAAGTGGTTAATTGATTAAGGTAAAACAATTTGAGGACTATCTGCCTATGGAGAGGGCTGCTTCCATGGAGGACATTTTAAGGAAAACTGGCTCAGGCCGACATTACACATGACCAAAACCACAAAACATCCCATGTTTGCAGCCATTTCCACGATTCTACCAGGGTAAACAACTTTACTAATCAGCCATTAATCAGCATAACACATATGAACTGAAACTTACATTTTTATAAGTTTCTTTTATTACACATGATGTACAGTTATTCTTCCCTGGCCCCAAGATTTTGTTAAGCATCATGTCTTACATTCAATAACAAACAATCTATGATAATGTATACTAAAAAAAACTTAGTAATCTATATTTAAAAGTCAACAAAATAACTTCAATGTCAAAAGTCACTCTATTTGCCTTGTTTCAATGAACAGGGTCAAATAAACAATAACTTTATACACTTATAACTAAAGAGAATTTTAACTTCAATACATGTTATTAAAATTTTATATCCTTCATATTATTCTTATAATTCATCTATACATATTTTTTCATTCATAAAATATATGATAAATAGGTACTTATGTATTATCTCATCAACCATGAAAGTGCTGCCAAGTAGTGCAATTTAGAGGCAATTATGGATACGCATGATTAACAACAAGCTCGTAACATCTGCGCTGTCATTTGCTGTAACCTTGATAGATTCTCAACAAACTATGTTTTGTTTCCATATATACAAGGATATAAATTAATTGTTACTGTATTTTTCATAGATTTTGGAAACAAAATAGGTGATTAAATCTAGGGACCTGCCTGCTACAGAACAGTAAGCAGTGGATTATTCTCAAAAGTTAAGGGATTCTCCCATAAAAAAGTGTGTATTAATGGACACACTCATGGTTCATTAATTCATGGAAAGCAGCCGACTTTCATGATCCATGGAATAATATTCAAGTATCAATAACTATATCTTTTTTTTACTCCTACTATGATTTATAAAAAATATAAATTACATACTTAAAACTACAAATATCTACACTTATATTTGTAATGAGCAACAGAATCATAATTTATGTTGAATAAAAAAATGTTCTTATAATTTAATGTTCCACTATTTGATATTAACTCTTATACAATATACAGGGTGATTTAAAAAAAAGTTTAAAAAATGGCATGGCAAATCAGGCATACAACAAAAATAAAAAATCACACAGGAACATGGTGTTGCAAATGCCACTAAAGGACGCTAGAGCAGAGAGAAGGCATTGCTACACAAGCACGAGCTGAGCAAATGGAGATTGTCTTCATTCAAGCCATGGATGCATTGTCAGTAACACAGCTAGTTATAAATACCACGAAATGGCTGGAAAGCATCTAATTTACGGCGTGGCCAACTGCAATGGATAAGAAGCTATGCAAATGTATCATGAGAAATAGCCTGATGGAAAGGTGCCTTGCTGCTCATTATTTGCCACTCTGCATTGAAAATGGTGCAAAAACCAGCTTGTTTGACATGTACAAGTCACCAATGAACAACTAGGACAGATTTTTAAGAAAATGTTCTCTCAGAACTGGAGTATAATCCTTCAACAAGTACATGAGTTGTAACTGAAGATACTCATATCCCCAACCTACCATATGGCACATGGCAAGGAAGGACTGCATCCACTCCTGAATGCATTTACAATGCATCCAGGCATTGGAACCAGAAGGCGACAAGCACATGGAATTTGCATGGTGGTTTTTGCAAGAAAATGTTACAGACTGAAACTTCACAGCAATTGCTCTCATCACTGATGAGACTACATTCTCACTAGAGGATGTGATGAACATTCACAACTTGAATACTTGGGTGGATGAAAATCCATATGCTACACATATACATCACTCACAATGCAAATTTACCCTCAACATCTGGGCTGGTATTGTAGGAGACTGTTTATTTGGTCCATACATTCTGCCAAAAAGACCTGATGGTTGCATTTACCTTGCCTTCTTGCAAGAGTTTCTGCCAGATATGCTTGAATGATTTTCCTATACTTATTTGTTGACACATTTGATTTCAGCATGATAAAGCTCCTGCACATTTCTGCAGACAAGTCAGAACACATCTGCAGGCTACTTTTCCTGAGTGCTGGACTGGTCGTGAAATCACATGGCCACCACAATCACCAGATCTGTCTCCTATTGACTTTTTCTTCTAGGATTTTTTAAAAGGACTTGGGTATGAAACATCTGTTTCATTGTCAGATGACTTAGTAGGAAGAATTGTTGTGGCAGAAGGATGTGTTCAAGATACACCTGGTATCTTTGAGAAGGTGCGCTGTTTAATGCAGCATCAATGTCAGACATGTCTCTATGCATCTCGAAAAAAGCATCTCGTGTAGTGGTTGTACATTTGTAGCATGTGACTAATACAAATAAATTATCTGAATGGTTTTGTTTCTTGTCTTTCTATTACATATATTTCATTTGCTCTATTGTGGCTCCAGATAGAATCTGCAACCCCATGTTCCTATGTGATTTTTTATCCCATTTTATAAGCTTTCTTTTTTTAATCATCCTGTAGTTAGTTTGTAAAAATGTATTTTAACCAATGTATTTTCCCCATTTAAAACTAAGACTTTAAATGAAAGAAAAGCAATACAACTTTTGGAGACTTATCAGATGTGATGTATAATGTATCTATATATGATGTACAAGACATTAATGTAAAATTCCAAAATTCTTTAATTTGGTCACCTATAAGATATATTCACAAAATTGCAATAAATATCTCAGGAACGTACAAACAGCTTTATGAGAACCTTCTCATATGGTTTCTCCATGACTCATTTTCTCAACTCCTAATAGTTATGATCTATAAAACTTATTCTACTAGTTTATATTTATTATGTCAATAATTTGCTACAAAACTCTCTCCAATTTATTTGGTATCTTTCTAATACTCAAAAAGCTATTTTTGTGAAAATATCATAAAAATGACTGAAAAGAGCAATGTGAAAACACACAGAAATTAAATTAAAAGATATAGTAAATGTAATAATAGTTTGTACATTCATAGTTTCAACAAGTAGAAATTAATTTCCATAGGCATACTGATAATATTAAAAAAAAAAAAATCTAACAAAGCAGAAATTT